CACTAAGATGTCTTCTTATTTTTATTTTTTCTTCTTGCCTCTATATATTCTTAAATATATTTTCTCTTCTCTAACCCCCAAATTAGAAACAATATTTTTAACAAAGCTCAGGTATTATGTGTACCACTCACACATGATTTCTTCTCTCTCTTTCCCTCCTCCTCTCTGATCACCCCAAACTCCCCTGTTTTCACTACATAGTTTCTAGTCTGCACCCTAACATAACTTCAGGTTGCATAAGGCTTTGGTTTTCCATGGCACAGTCTCCAGTGCCAACCCTACTTGTTCAGCTCATTAGTAGCAAATGGATGCAGCTTTTCAGTATCTCAGTTCCAGAGTCATAAAAGAGAGAAACTGATTGACCCAGTTCAGATAGGCCAAGTTAAAGCTCTTATGTCCAATACATGGGGCTGTTCTTTCCAAAAACTGTAAATGAGATAATTTCTCTGTGAAGGTATGAGAGATGAATCACACCAAAATATGTTTACCATAGACAGCAGCATCTCCATAGATCTGCCTTGTACACTAAGTAGCTACTAGACCCATGTGGACATTGTCATTTACATTTAAATTAATTGAAATGGAATAATTCTAAAAATTCAGATCCTCAGTCACAGTAGCCTCATTTCAAGTACTACTCAATGGCTACTGTTTTTTATAGCACCGAATATTTCTATTTTCCCTGAAAGTTCTATTGACTAAAGCTGTTGTGGATGGTAAAAAATAAAAATAAAAGCAACAACATTTGGAAAATTGTTTAAAAGCTTAATAATTTGATAAACACTATTTAATTTTTGCAATTCTTCTCCCACTCCTAACCCACCAACCAAAATAATTATAAATTACCTTTGTTCCAGGCTTTCTACTTTTCTGACAAGAAATCTAAATTAGTACCTCAAAATGATTACTCAGAAAGGTAAAATCTGGGACAGTCCCAGTCAATTTAGGACAGCTGGTCACCCGACCCATATTTCACCCTTCTCTTTTGTAGATTTGTTTCTTTGGTTGTCAATTCTTCCACTTTCTTTTTCCTGAGTCTTTTTTGTAGCTCCAGTAAGAGAGAGGCTACATTATCCTTTATTGAACCTGGGCCAAATGGTCAGCGTTGCCAGCTGAGAGTTAAAATTTCTAGATCATTGAACTCAATCATGAGAGGGTAAATGCTGAGTGCAAAGAGCAGCTAAACCGGTAGCTGTGTGATGACAGTGGAGTCAGGTGTCAAGGTGGGCTAAGAAATACAATGACTAGTTCAGATGTCCAGGGTGTTGTCTGGGGGTTACAGAAGGCCTGGAGTGGAAGGGGTTAATGCCACTAAGCATGACACTGGTAGCTAATTTGGCTAAACCACTTGCCAAATTTTAAAAAGCAGGGCCCCGAACCTACTAAAATTAATTCGATCATAATCCCTGGGCCATCTGTATTTTAAGGTCCCAAAATAGTTCTAATTTTCAGCTGAGGTTGAGGAGCACTGATCTAGATAACTTGTGAACCCAGCAGCCAGAGCAAGCTTAGGCAGCAGTTGCTCCAAGGAAATCCAAGGGACTTCTGCTGCTTTTCAGCTGTAATTGTTCATTAATGTCTTTTTAGTCCATTCCACAGAATGTAAAGGGTCTGTTCTGGTCTCTGCCCAGGCTCCCTCACTCATAGTATCTCTGGGCGGAGAACTTTTCAGGGTGAGCAAAGGACAGTCTGATACCTAGGCAAAGTAGGGAGTCATTATAAGATGTGAGGGGTGAGCGGAAAGGTTTTATTTCTCACCTACCACCATAATTTATGCCTGGAATTTCAATCAGTGTAGATTGCTTTAACACAGACATTGCAAATTCAAATGCCCTTAGAGATAAGCCAAATAATATAAATGACAGCTGCGGGAATGTGCACCCAAAGTTGCTAGCTCTTACCATTTTTTCAAGAAAAAATAGAAATCTGGATTTTAAAAATATATACAGTTCTCGTTTTTTTAAAAAATGAGGCAATTGAAATACTTTTAAAAGACTGTCCAGGCAAAACGAAACTTATCCACAAGCTGGAAATGTCCCTTCTCAAAATGCAAATGTCCCTGTAAGTAGCAATAGACGGTTTCCTTTCTCTCTTGTCTCCATTTGGAGCATTTTCCTCTTTCTACAATCCTGGTAAATCCTCTAGTATACGGTATTCACAATTCCTTCCTTCAGCTTGCCTCTAATTTGAGTTTCTATTTTATCAACAAACGTCTTCAAACACTTTACATTAGCTGCTTCTAACCCTCACCATCCACCCTATATTGCACTATTTGTAATCTGGTTTCTGCCTTCACCTTTTTATTAAATCAACTTTCTCTAGTCTAAGGTCACTAATGACTCCTGATTGGCCAACACAATGGCCTGTTTCCAGTTCTGATTGTCCTGTAGCTCTCTGTAACACTTGGCATGGTGTCCACTCCCCTGGCTAATGCCCATTACCCAGTCAGGGAGAGTAAGTGGCTCTAGGCTGCTAGAGATCAGGAAGAAGTGGGACCTTTTGAGAGGAGGGAGAGAGCAGGAGGCAGGGGAATGCAGGAAACAAGGGCAAGCACAGTCTCTTGGGAGGAAGTGAAATTCTAAGGCTGAGTTCAAAAGATGCACAGCTGAAACAGTTCATAGTTGAGGTTCTGATCTGGAAGTTTGAGACTTGGGAGAAAAGGTAAAAGGTTGTGTGCCTAGCACACAGAAAAAAAAACCACTAAATAAACATTTACGGAACAGAACTGACCTCCACCCATCCCCTCACTGTACCCTGGACCAGATGCAGGAACAGAAGCAGAGATCTTGCCACTGGGTCCAGGCTGGGGATGGAGGGGAGGAAAAGAGCTCCAAGCCAGGGCCCAAGCAGAGGAAATCATAGGTCAGTTCCCCAAAAGCTCTCAGTAGGAGGTTGGTGAATAACCACTGCACACTAGTGGGCAGCCTCCCCTTTGCAAGGGGCTCTCAGAAAAGCTGGAGTCAGACAGCCTCCATTTCCTTTAATCAACTAAGGGGAAGAGTGACGACTGACCGGAAAATGCTCCCATGTATACACAGAAAGCCTGGGAAGGGACAGAACAGTGCATGAGGTCAGATCCCTTCCTGTATCAGGGGAAGGACAAAGAGCTCTCTTGAGGCACCCCCTATTGCCATTTCTTCCTTTCTCTCTATGGGGTTCTCAGATTCTCAAGCCCACCCACCTCCCTGGGTCAGTCTCTAAGGCAGAGAGCTTGTTAGAAATGCAGAACCGCGGAGTCAGCATTGCATTCAAGCCTGAGATGTCCTGCTCTAGGACATCCTTCACCTACTGCCAGGGTAATTTTCTGGAAGTACAGCTTTACTAACATTATACCCCGGCTCAAAACCCTGTGTCTCCTCATGGTCTACTAAATCAAGTACAGTACATGTTTTACCACGCCTTTAAAAATCTTCCACCACTTGGCCCCTATTACCTTCCAGATTCCTGACCACCCAAAACCATCTGTGAAAACCATGAGTCAGTAAAATTGAACCATATCCTGTTCCTGCATCTGGCCCATAGTGCAGTGTGGAGATGAGGTGGAAATTAGTTTTGTTCTGTAAATGTGTAGCTAGCACTTTCTGTGTGCTCGGCATACAACCTGTTCCTCCTCCTCGCCTAGGCCTGAAACCACCAAATGCCCATTTTCTTGCCTTTGCCCTGATGAGTCCTCCCCTCCAACATATGGTATCTTTGCCTCCTGAAATCCGAGGGCAAATCCGAATGCCAGCTCTTGCACAGAGCTCCATGTGTTATGTATCTTTAAGGCAGAGATGACCCAGGCACCCTAGCTGGCTCCAGGCCTGACTGTATGCGTCTTTGACCAGCCTCAGTTTTCTAACTTAAAAATTAGTGATACTAAAACCTACTTGCAGGGTTGTTGTAACAATTGAATAAAATGGTGTCTCTTTGAGAGTCCTCTAGCACTTTGGATATCTTTGAGGACAGTTATCTCATGGCACCTTATGAAATGCAAATATCACCATCATCTTTGAAATTAAAAAAAAATCAATTCAAATGCATCCTGTAGGAAGTCTAGTGCTCTTCCTTACATTTTAGCAAATTCTCAAGATGCATGTTCTCCTGCTTTCTGCTGGCTCTGAGCTCTCTAATCCTATTTACGTATCACAGTTCACCATTTCCACCCAAAATAGACATGAAGAGATTCATTTCATTAATTCACCGCCACACACCAACTCCTTCTCCACCTTGCCCCTCAAAACACTAACATTTGGCATATGTGCTGAATGTCAGGCTTCAGCAAAGGCTTAAGGATGAAGGCCATTTACATGCAAGCAAGGCAAGCAATTTTAATGGACTACGAGATATCCTGCTTAAAGTCCCTTCACTGTCCTGCCTCTGGAATTGCTCACTGACCCCTCTCCGGGCAGCTCCAGCCTCCCATCTGCTGTGGGGCACTGTCCTCACATCTCCCCATCTGTTCTCCAAAGTCCTGCGGCTCAGGCTCCAGAGCCTCCAGTTACCCCCTTTATTATGCAGAGCAGTTTAGCTTTCTAGTTGAAAACCCTCTCATTACTGTGCTCTGCTAAAAAACTTCTTCACTGACCCCTGAGCATCTTGGAAGACCTAGAAGAGCTTTTAATTTTACCTCATTTTTTCTTTTCTTTCTTTCATTTTCTTTGCTTTTCTATTCTTTTTTTTGGGGGGGGGGCGGGTATTTATTTATTATTTTGTATCAGTGAAAGTAAGCCTAAAGCAAATTCTTTTCATGTGAATTATGACAACCCTCTTAATAAGACAAAATTTGCTACAGTCTATTGTTTTATTTTTTGTTTGTTTGTTTGTTTTCTGCCTTTTTTTTTTTTTTTTTTTTTTTTTTTCTTTTCAAACA